GAAAAAAAAAAAGGAAATAAATTCAAAGAAAGGACATCCCTTCAAATCAAATTCTTCTCTCTACTATTTTTTATCTTTGGCGGATGCTAGAAGTACATAGAAACCTCCATAATGGACACTATTATGGAGGCCCCTATGTACAAAAAGATTAATCCTTTATCTTTAAAATAATGCTATTTGCAGTCGTTCACTACAGCAGTCGTCCTACGTGGCACACATATGACAGATGATTATTTGATGCATTAATGAATAAAAAAACTACCACATTAATGTATCAAATAATCACTTGTCATGTGTATGCCACGTAGGATGACTGTCACAGTGAACAACTGCGAATAGCATTACTCTTATCTTTAATTACAATTTTGGAAGTTGACTTCGTGATAGTAATTGGCAAAAAATCTCTTAAAATGGAAAAAAAAGTTGGTTTAATAGTCAAAATCAATCAAAATCAGGAACACTAGAAATCACATAGTCTTCACCACTATGTTTTCTCCGGCTTATTCAAGGTTCAAACTTATCACTTTCAAGGGAGAAAATTAATGTCGAAAAAGTTAAAAGCGGTAAAAATTATGAGTAGATTCTTGTCTCCATGGTTACCATAATTCCACTGCAAAGAGTTTTCACATACTTTGAGGGTTTTTTACCAGGCAGATACGTACACTATATAGAGAGAGAGAGAGAGACAAAGAAAGTGCTGGTTTCTCTCTCTACTCTCTACCCTGGTTCTCGATTTGGATTGACAGAGTCAGCGGCACCACTACTATACTACTTTTAAGGTGAATAAACTGTTCTTGATTAGCTTCAGAGATCCCTGTGGGTTGAGAGATGACCCCACGCTACCCCACTCCATGGAAGATTTTCTCCACTCCATATGTTCATTTCTACTCTTGTAGATATAAAGATACAAACATGTATATATACTAGCTCTCTTTTTCTTTTTCTTTTTTCCCTTTTTTTCTTCGTGGTTTTTTCCCATCCAACTCATCATCATATGATTGACAATCTCACTTCTCTCTCTTCATCTGTCTTGTGTTCTTGTTGAACTGAAAGAGACATAAAAATCTTTTCTTTTTATTTCATAGATCCAAGTCATCATCTTAATCTCTAGTACTGGTAAGTAACCTTTTTCTATATAGTTTTCAAGCACATATTAATATTTTAATTTTCTTTAATGTTGTTTTTGGATTTAGATTTGTGGAATCAAAGTTTCGATTTTTTACTTAATTTATTTAATGGGTTGTGCTCCCATTGTGCAATTTGTGCTATTATTGGATTGTGACTGTGAGTTTAATTCTTTGTCATTTTGGGTTGCCCTTATGCTAATGATTTACGCTATTGGTTTGACTTATCTTTACATTGTAATTATTGCTGTGAGTGACTTGTGACATTCTTTGTCTTGTTTTTATTCTGTGTAGTTTTGCTCATAAGTTACTATTAAGTTCTTATTGTTTACATACGGTATTGCTCTAATTTATGATTGCTGCTCCTCAATCTTGTTTTTCAGTATTAGTCAGCTGGATTAGTTGTGGATTGACACTGGTAATTTTTTGGTGGAAGCCTGGTGTAAGAGCAGGCTCGATTATCAGTATCCCGATTTACTGATTAAGGGTGGCTTTTATTAACGAGAATTTGAAGGTTGTTTATTTGATTAGCTCATGAAGTAGAAATCTTCATAGACACAATGGGTGGACTTTGCTTGAGAAGGTCCACCGATGATGGTGCATTGGCTGGTACATTCCCGCATGTCAATGGGCACTTCAGTTATGGTTCTGGATTAGTTTATCAGTCTAGTGGGTTTGATGTACGAGAAAATAGCAGTTCGGTGGAAGCCCCATCTAAGGTATCTACAGATAAGCAACTGAGAGAACCGATTTCATTCCCTGAGCTGAATGCTATTTCTCATGCCACAAACATTGATGATATCAACGATGGAATCCCTCGTTTGTCTCGGGCTTTATCGAATAAATCTAGATCAACAAGGTCAAAGCAAGTGGCAATTGCAAAGGTAAGTCCGCTGTGGATTTTGTTTAACGCTTGCTTCTTTTTGTGCCTGTTAGTTTGCCTTGGGATATTGCCGCAATTTGTTGGTTCATATGCATTTAATAACGTATCAGCTCATGTGGAGTTACAAGAAAGTATAGCAAGCCAACACTTTCACAATTTTGACACAAATCTTCAATGTTATCCTTCACATTTTGGGATGAGTAGTTTCTGGGTCATAACAAATTAGAAACTAAGTTTAAATAACTGACCACAAAAATTGAAAGTAATTATGTAAAAAAATTTTAGATCATCAAACTTCCTGTTAAATATGCTTCTTACTCCTGTAAATATGACTTTGGTTTAGCATGATAGACAAAGAGATCCATTATACGCCTTTCTTTCTCTCCCTTCCGTGACTCCTCAAATCCTTTCCTTTATTTGAACTTCTTATTTTGAAAAGAAAAAAGATAAATGCGATAGAAGCAATTGTGAAATGCTAAGATGCTGGAGTTAGAGGAATAATTGTATTGATGCAGATTAATATTTCTCTGTGATGTGTGGATAATTGAGACAGAAGCTCAATCCAACTTAAAAATCGCAATTTAAAGGTGTTTGGAACTTATTTTCTTATCTATGAAGAAAAGAAAGATTATCAGGAGAAATTTTCTGTATTTCCCAAGTCAGACACTTTTTCTGTGGCAAAGTACGCAGTTCATTCGTGGTTCTCCACTAGATTTTCCATTACTGTCTTTATTGTTAATCAATTAGGTCTGTTTTTCTCTAGGTTTCCTTTTGTATCTTTAAGGAAATAAGGAGTTCTGTTAGGTCTTATATATATATTATTTATTTATTTTTATTTTTGTATCCACTGGTAGAGCAGCAATTGTAGTATCAAATTGGTTACAAAGATGATAAAGATATGGGATGTGGGAAGATACACGTGTTCAACAATATCACCTTTTCTGTTTACGTTCTAGCTCGATGAAATTGGATCTAATGCATGCCAGTGAAAGATTATTTAAACAAATTTGAAAATGCATAATTTATATACTAGGATGATGAAATGTATCGAAATGTGTTTCTGTTTCATATCTGAAATTGTGCATAATTTACACTGTGCCAATTATTCTTGAATGACATTTGGTACTTAATGAATTTCAATGACTTTCTACTACTGCTAAAGGGAAATTACACTTAATCTGATATTTTGTCTCAGGTGTCTGAAGTGAGTTCACTGTTGGGCAGAGTGGGTACCACTGGGATTGGGAAAGCAGTGGATGTGTTGGATACACTTGGTAGTAGCATGACTAATTTGAACCTCAGCAGTGGATTTGCAGCTGGGATGGCTACAAAAGGGATTAAAATCTCGATTTTGGCATTTGAAGTTGCAAATACAATTGTCAAAGGTGTCAATTTGATACACTCCCTTTCAAAGGATAACACTAGACATTTAAAGGAGGTGGTACTCCCTTCTGAAGGCGTGCAAAGCTTAATATCAAAAGATTTGGATGAACTCCAGAGAATTGCAGCAGCTGACAAGAGGTGTAGCTGTAGAAACAGTTAAATCTATTATGAAATATCTGCTCATATGATATTGTCATGGTATATGTAATGATGAGTTGAGGCTTATTTTGTTTATGAGTGTATCAGGGATGAATTGAAAGTCTTTTCGGGAGAAGTAGTCCGCTTTGGAAATCGTTGTAAAGATCCTCAGTGGCACCACTTGGACCGTTATTTTGAGAAGTAATTGCTAACATCCTTTTTTTTCCCCTTCTCTTTCTGCTGGCACTCTATGTGCTTGTTAATACATGAAATAAGCTTTTCATTTCATTTTTAGTTGTCTATTTTGATATTAGGTTGGAATTTGATTTCATACCACATAAACAATTGAAAGAAGAAGCTGAAACGGTGATACAACAATTGATGACTTTTGTTCAGTACACTGCTGTAAGTGTTTGCATTATTGGAAGTTCATTTTTCTACTTTTCAACTCATTGAGTTGGTTAGAGTTAATATTGCAAGATTTCTTTTCTATCTTTATTTTGATTTTGGTCATCATATATTGAGGTTCTTGTATTATACGGATTTCACAGGGAGTGATGAGAAGCAAATGTTAGAAGGTGAAGTGGTTAAAGATTTGAGAACACATGAATTGGCTGTCTCTTGAATTTAAGAGTGAACCAAATTTAAGTGAACAAAGATTTGATTTTTTTTCCCTTTTTGTTTGAGAAATTGAAGACCCAGAATATTCATACTTTTACTTTTGTACAAATATTTGTCTGTGTGCTTTTGTTGTTTGTGGCTAAAATCTAGAAACTGCCGTATATAATTTATCAATTCATTATGTTTTCTGTTTTGAAACTGCGACGATGTTTTACATACAGAACTGCACCTTACGTTAGTGCTATATCATTGAGCTTTGATTTAGAGGATATCTAATATGTTTAAATTGCAGGAGCTGTACCATGAAATGCATGCATTAGACAGATTCGAGCAAGACTATCGCCATAAGGTTCAAGAAGAGGATAACTCGAATACTTCACAGAAAGGTAGTTATTTTCATTTATTAACTGGTAATATTTTTGTTATCTTAATGTTCATTTTGGTGTTTTTTTAACATCTTATTCTTCTATGAATAATTTGTGATTAACAGCGATGTTTGAGAGATTACACAAATTGTTTCCATAATACAGTTGAATAGGTGAAAAACAAGGCAAAGTTTTTGTTTTTAGATTTAGAAGTTAGAGCTGCCCAGGAATTGTTATCATAGTTTAGTTTTCTGCTAGACCTGACAGCAACTTTAGGGAAAGTAACACCTGAGGTCCCCCGTCGCCCACCTTAGCATAATGCAAACTCAGGTCCCCTTCTTCATCTTCTATTTTTTTTCCCCCGGCATTTGAGTCTCTAACCTTTCAATTTTGTAGAACTTGGGGACCTTGGTCGTACTTTTCCTGCAATTTTATATAGGTTCAGTATACTGGGGACGTTCCCTGTTCAATTCTTTATTCCCAATTATCTCACCTTTCATTCTGCATCAATTTTTAGGGCTGAAGGATCCCCTTTTTCTTGGAGTTTGCATATTTTTAAAATGATAATTGAGAGCCTAACTCCCAAGACTAACAACAATTTTTTCTGCTTTTCCTTTTTTTTTCTTCATCTGCTTTTGATTGCGATTGTTGGCTTGAACTTCAGAAATTTTGATTCATTAATAAATGGACCATATTTTTTCCATGCACTAAAATACTGAATTTCATGAACTTCTCTGTTAAAGACCTTCACTTGGAAGGTCATGATTTCGTTAGAGGAAAAGGCTTATAATGGCCTTTGGCCCTGAAGAAGATTACCTTCTAAAGCGTGTTCAATATGTGGGAAGAGCGGGAATCTGAGTCCCATTTCTTCTTGCATTGAAACTTCTCCTAGTTAAACTTTTTTTGGTCAATCATTTGTTCCTCCACCTATAGTCTGGCATGTGCTTATCGAGCATATGGCCCAGCGAATCCGTGAAATCAATTAAGCTCTACATCTTTTGGGCAGTATTGGTATTCAGAGATCAATCAATATAATTACTTTACTAGCAGACGTGTGGAAAGGAGACAGCTCTCTTTTAGCACTTGAAAGTCGAAAGTAGACGGTTCTACTTTTGAAATGAGAGAATACATTTTCTTTTATCCTCAAGGTAAATTTTGTTTAGGTATTTGTCCCTCGCTAACTCATGGCGGATGGTCTACCACAGACGATATAAAAATTTATTTATGATGGCTTCTCTTATTTTTTTTGATAGTAATACTAAAAATCTTTGTCTATATCATTTGGTGACCTTTTATTTCTTTCTCTGCCTTATCCGTATTGGTATAAAATTTTGATGAGGTCTACTACATTTCTTTCCTTTGGTATGCATCAAATTATGATAGCTGGTATATTCAGTAACTTTCAAGTTGCTTATTGTATAAAATTTTGATAAGGTCTACTACATTTTTTTTCCCTTTGGTCTGCATCAATTTATGATAGCTGGTAAAATTATTAACTTTCAATTTGTTTATTTATGTTATTCTTCTTCTTCTTCTTCTTCTATCTCTCTCTCTCTCTCTCTCTCTCTATTTTTAATTGTTTTATCTTTGCTAATGTGAAGGTGACAGCCTTGCAATATTGCGGGCAGAACTGAAGAATCAAAAGAAACATGTAAAGAGTCTGAAAAAGAAATCCCTCTGGTCCAGGATTTTGGAGGAGGTAGTCAATACTTCTGTTTTTATGTGATGCTGAATGTAGACTAGGCTTTTTATATTAGAATAGTGACTTTTAATTTTTACATGCAACTGGAGACAAGGTTATGTTCTGTAGAATGAATGTTTATTTGTTTGTTGTCACTATAAATCTTTATTTTTCGACCAAGCTAATTTCTGTTATGTCTCTTTATGTTAAGGTAATGGAGAAGCTTGTAGACATCGTCCATTTTCTAAATTTGGAGATCCGTATGGCATTTGGTAGCTCTGGTAATCATCCAAAATTTTCAATATAGTTTAAACAGTATGCTCGTCTTTTTATGTCCTTGACACTATTTTTTCCTTCTTCAATATGTGCTTTTCCATTTTGAGTTCTTGTGATTTATCTTCTCCTCTTTTAGTGGTCCTTGTTCTCTTAATATTCTAATCCCTTGTTCATCTTATAACTAAAAAGATGGTGTAAAATGGTTCTTATTTTTATTTCTTTTTCATGCTTCATAAATATAACTATATGCAGTTCAGTGTTCGAATAGTCCAGTAATTCCTGGTTCGATTATTTAATAAAAAATGTGTATTTTTTTTGTTCGTTGGGCGACTATTGCAGATGGAGATAGGCCAATAAAAAACCACCAGCAGAAGTTGGGATCTGCTGGCCTTGCACTGCACTATGCAACTATCATTACCCAAATAGATACACTGGTGACTTCGTCGTCCTTGTTTTAATTTCAATTTTATCAGTGAATTTCACTTCTCGTAGGTGCACTGCTCTCTTTCTTTTGTTTTACTTGCTTGATGCCATGAATTTAATTTTCTTAAGTTGATTCGATCTTTGTACATTTTCTCAATTAAAATGATATCCCAGATAAGTATGAGATACTTCACTAAATTTAGGGAGTTCTTCTTCTTCTTCTTCTTACAATTATTATTATCATTATTATTATTATTATTTATTTATTTATTATTATTATTTTTTTCCCCTTCTGATTTACTATCTTTCTTGGTAATCAGGTAACCCGATCAAGTTCGGTGCCACCAAGTACAAGAGATGCTTTATACCATGGCCTGCCACCAGGTATAAAGTCTGCTCTGCATAGCAAATTAAAATCTTTTCAGCTCAAGGAAGAGGTACTACTTTTCGTCTGAACCATTTCATCATTAGAGAACCATATTCTATTGTGTGATCAATTTTTTCTTCAATGATTTCCATTTCGTTGATTATGATCTTACGCTTGTTTATTTAATAAAAATAATTTTTTACTTATGTAGATGACTGTTCCACAAATCAAAGGGGAATTGGAGAAAACTCTTCAGTGGCTTGTCCCTATGGCCACCAACACAACAAAGTAAAGTGACTCTCCCTGTAAACTACTCTTTATAGGCGTGGATTGTTTTTAATAACAATATTTATTATTTACAACTTTGCCTTTCATGATTTTTATTTTTATTTCATCAAATCTCCCTATGAACATTTACCCATACACGTTGACAATGTGGCGTGACTCAAAAACAGGGCCCACCATGGTTTCGGTTGGGTTGGAGAATGGGCAAATACAGGGTGAGTTCGATTCTTTTGGTGCTTGTTCTTCGCCGATATTATTTTTCTTTTTATCATAGTATTATTTTAGTAACTGGTTATATGCAGGTCTGAGTTGAGCCGAGCTGCCCTGCCTGATTTACTTCGGATAGAAACACTCCATCACGCAGATAAGGAGAAAACAGAAGCTTACATTCTTGATTTGGCAGTGTTGCTTCATCATCTTATCAGCCAATCGAGGGCTGCTAATGTTGGATTTAGATCTCCGGTAAAATCCCCAGTTCGCTTCCCTAACCAGAAGACAGTTCAGTTGTCGACAGACAAGCCGAGCTCGCCATCTTCTGCTGCTTTAACAGTTGAGGACCACGAGATGCTCCGAGACGTAAGCAAAAGAAAACTGACACCTGGAATAAGTAAGAGTCAGGAATTCGATACTGCAAAAACGAGATTTTGCAAGCACCACAGGCTGAGTAAAAGTAATAGTCATTCCCCAACAAGTGAAACCAAGAAAGATCCTTTCCCTATTAGAAGGCCATCTTCTGTTCCCATCATTAACTTCGACATTGACCGGATCAAAGCGCTGGACGTCATTGATCGAGTGGACACAATTTAAAGATCACAAGAAAATGTTCCATTATCCGTCACCCGAAGAGCTTGTTGTCTTCACCGGTCATTTAACCGGGATAAAAAATCACGGCTGGATTATGTTGTTTGTTGAAGATTAAGAATTGTCTTTGTTTACTGTTTTGCTTGTGAATTTGAGAAATGAAATGAGTTGGGGTGGGGAGAATATTGATTGCTTGGAAAGAGTACTTAGGCATTAGTTTTAATTAGTATGTGTACAGAATGCTCTTATAGTTTTCCTAATAATTATCGTTCCTTTTTAGGTTTTGGTCTGTTCTCTTCAGAATCTTTGTAATGTAGGATTATGATTAATGTCATCATGTCTTGATTCTCGTTCTTCTCTTTTAATGTTAGTTTCCTAAATGTTTTGCGCAAAAGTTTATATGGAAGCATATGATTGAGTAGTGATTATTAGTCACGTATTGAACAATGATATGCCACATTGACACATTTGGACTCCACTAATTTAGCTCGAAACGTGGGTCGTGTTAGTAACCTCAAGTTTCAAGACCGCTAATTCAACTCGAGTTGGGTCGTGCTAATTACCTTTTGAACATCCAAACATCACGTTTCAAGTCTATTACTTTAATTCAAGACGAGTAGTGTTAATTAGTCATTCATTGCACATTGACACGTCACACTTTGAGTCCACTAATTTAACTCAACACGGGCTATTTTAGTCAACTCACGTTTCAAGACCACCACTAATTGATCAACTTGAGATGGGTTGTGTTGGTCACTTTCTGAACATAGACATGTCGTGTTTCGAGTCCTCTACGTCAACACGAGATGAGTCGTATTTATTAACTAGTCACCTCGGCATATCATATTTTGAGTACACTAATTTAACTAGATATGGGTTGTGACACACTTCAACCAATCCGTTTTGTCAATTGAAATGTTTGAGTATATATAAGTTAATTCATACTTGTTTAATTATTGTGCATTAATTAATGGCAAAAAATGTTAGCATAGTTTGTCTAATTATATTCGAATTAATAATTATGTTCTCTAGCAACAATATTGTGTAATACATAAATTATAGTGCTTGCATATCCATCATTTGAGTCTTAACATTTTTCCAAGTATTGCATATATATCCTATTAGGCTGCAAATAGTTGTTAGAATCAATATAATTATAATGCTATTTGTATATTTCATTAGTTTCAAGGTGTGATAGCACTCTCAAAGACAAAACAGTTTTGACTTTGGAGGAGAGTACGAGATTTAGTAGCAGCCAGTGATAAAGTGGCTTTGTTAACTATTCAATTAAATTTTTTGCAAAGATTGAATTGATTTCTTGTCAGTGTTGCGGAAGCTCGTTTCAAAATCTTCGAAAATGTAATTTTCAGACTTAGTTTCACGTTATCTTTCTCAACTAAACAACCAATCTAAACGGCTCCGACCTACTAGTATATTTACTTCGATTGCTTCTTAAGGCAATATGTTAGACCGGACCAATCTAGAGGTATGTAAACGTACCACTTTAGGCCACCACTATTCGTCCTAAAGCCTCTAGCAACTACGACAATCAACCAAACAGATCAATTCCCAAATGCACAAAGGGCAAAATCATCCAAATTTCCCTGTATAACTTGAAATAAAAAAGTAACATCGTCAAAATATTAGAGATGATGTTAGAAACAAACTACCTGAAGACACTGTCTCTAGAAACTGCCTCACGCATCGGCTACCCTGATGCATCTCCACTTGCACGTCATGCTAATGGTCTCTGATTCACCAATCCGTCACTAGATTGGTCGAAAAACAAGGAAACATATCCGATTTTTCAACATTTTTTGGACAAATTTTTCGATCTAGTTTTTACTTCGATTCTGCCCTTTTTCTGGTCAAGTTTGGTCAAATTTTTTAGTCAAATCCACTATCTTAAAGTTTGGATATCAATTGTTGAGGAAGATCACTCCAAGATCTTCAAAACGATAATTTATAGGCTCAGTTTCACGTTACATTTTTTTAACAAATAACTAATCGAAACGGCTCCAACCCGCAATCAATATATTTACCTCAGTTGCTTCTCAATCTCACCTACAAAGGATGAGATAACCGTGTTGATTTGCAAACCATAAAGGCATAGAAAAATAATGGAAGGCATAAGAGAGAGGCCAAAGACGCAAAAGAATCCATCGATTTTCCCTTACAAAGCAGCCAATTTATCACAGCAAAGGGCAGCCATGATTTTTCTCTTTTCACACAAATCACACACTAAAAAAGGGCCATGGTAAACATCGTATATATAGGAATATGTTAAGCTTTATTTGGACCATAAAAGGGGTTAAATGGGTTAAGATCCAAGAGCAGTCCAATAGGTAAATATACATGGGCGGTAAGCAACATTAATTTCTTAAACTACTTCCAACGGTCCATGTTATATTTAGGTTGTGTCTTTAGACTTGATTGTTAGTAATCAATTCATCATTGGTCAAGACCTATGAAAATATATTCAGACGATTTACATTATTGCTCGAGATTTATTTGATATCAACCCAATTGTAAGCATCTACTTAACAAAAAGTATGTATTATATATGAGATTCAATTGCAATTAGTGGTCAAGTGTGTCTTTGCTAGCTATATGAGAGTCAATTCATTAAAATGAAGAGACCGATTGTTCCATCTTTGATATCACGTTGCTTTACACTGTTTTTATTTTTATTTCTATAACAAACAATTAACCTTCTAGTGTCTAATGCTTAGGAAGCATCTAGATTCTTGTTTTTATAAATCAAACAAGCTTTAAAAGCAAAAAATATATATTTTTGAAAAGGACCCTTGTCCAGTCTTGTAAGTAAGTGAATATTGAAGACAAGTGAAGCTAAAAAAAACAAAATAAAAGGCAAATATTTGAAGCTTTGTAATCTCAGTTACAATTTTTTTTTTTGTTTAAAAACTAATAGTACGTACCTCAGAATCTTTATTATACAATAAAAGTTTTCATCTTGGTTACTTCAGACTATGCAAGTTTTATTCTTAGTAGAGGCATATTTTCATTGCTTAGGCAATGAAAATTACTTGTTTTTAATACGTAGATTGTTTGTCTTCTGTTTCCTGCTTGGTGGGGATTATATTTTGTTTAAAGAGGCATTATATACTAATTTATTTCTCTTTCGAAATTAACTAAGTACTTTTTTCTGAGGGCCAGCTTGGTTAAAACAAGATAATCTACAATTACCTTATCCCTACCTACCTTCTATAGTGTTTGCAAGCTCACTAATGCAAAGGAATAACACCAGAATAAAGAGTAATGCCCTGTTCGGTGGAGATTTTTTTGAGAAAATATTTTGTGAAAGATGTTTTCTTTTGGAAAATGTATGATTAAAAAGTATGGAAAAGTCACGTACAAAATTATTTTACTGGATAATATATGATTGGAAATAAATTTCAGTAAAGATGAATTTAGAAAATGAGGATTAAAAGATTCGATTGTTCTAAGAATACTCGACGGAATAATTTATTGACTTAAAAAATTGAAACGAATAATTGATAATACCGAGGAACTCTCATTGAAACTTTACTATTCAAACAAGGAGTCCTAGTTTTTTTTTTTTTCCTAAACAATTGGAAAGATAACAACTCACATTTACTAAAATAAAACAAAATGACAGCAAAAATAGCATTTAAATAAAGGTCGTGAGATCGTTTCGAGTGTATCCGATGCATCCATTTTCTTCATAACCAGCAAAGATGCTTCAACTAATTAATAATATTATTATAGATTATGAAATCTTTTCTTCATTAAACTCTTTACGAATAATTCTAGCATAAAATTAATTTCTAGTTAATGTCCTAATCCTTTTCACTGTAATTAATTAAGTTATTCTAGAGTAGACGAGAATAAATATGAAAGGAATATGATTCTGTTTCTTTAAAGGTTGGTAGATTTGATAATGATACCTAAGCAAGAGAAGATAAACAATTAAACATGGTTATATACACTCGAACCGTATAAACAAAAGTTTATTTACGAACAATGGCTTGTCCTCCACTGAAGTGTACTGAGGAATACTATGAAATTTTCTGCCGCCGGATTATATATATATATATATATATATATTCTGGGATATAAATGTAAGAATTTGCCATATGTCAACTTCACGCTTCAAGAAAAAGAATCATATTGAAGAGGCAGTGATAATATTCTTTTCTAGGCATGGTAAGAAAATCATATTTTTCTCCAAAACTATTGGAACTTCCCATGTATTCAACAAACAGAAATGCGATATTCAACAAATTATTTTACTAACTTTCAAATTATATACTGTGAAGTCAGTAAATTTATTTTTATTAAATAATGAACCTTGCTATAGGTACAGGGATTTAAATCCCTGTACCTACCGAACACTCACATTCAAAGGCGGGAATTTATTTTTTTTTCAATATTTTATACACAGGCCTACTCTCATGTGAGTGAGAATTCAAAAATCTGTCAAAAATCTGGCAAACATTTTCTGTACTTGAAGATTTTTCGTTAAATAATATACAAACAGATAGAAGAAGTAACTGGGAAATCTAGGACTAAACTAATGCATTTCTATGAAGAAATTCTGGTACTAAACGAATAATATAAGAGACCCATATTAAAGGAATAATTAGCGTACATTTAACTATGGAAGCATCGAAATACTGTGTAGTTAAAATTAATTATTGACTTTGACTTAAATTTTAATACAATTGTTTAGCTAAACCAAATAGGACATATAAAATCTTCAAGTCAAGTATCAAAATCTTCAAGCTCGATATGTGGATATAAATTTTTTAGGAAATATATTCAACCAACTCTATGGCGGCCGAAACTATAACGGTCCTAAGGGAGCGAAATTCCTTATCGGGTAGTCATTTTACCGGCAGAACACATTAGCATCTTTGAAGATTTTACAACTTCATTGATTCATTGTCACTTAATTTGACTTTTAAGAAATATCTTAGGGGATGAAATTAGGCTCAAATTAATGCTTGTATTCAGGCTGCAGATAGTTACATGCATGTAGAATACGTAGTGAATAATTCATGGACTCCAAAAATAGAAAACTCCAAGCACAAAAGTTCAAACATAAAGTTCCAATAGTGTAGATTCGTTGAAGAGAAAATTTAATTGGAAGGATGTCCCATCAAATCTTGTTTATTTTCTTGCTGTGATGAGAAGTTTATAACTGCTAAATTATCGTGGGCGTTAATGACAAAGACTTGATATAAATTGAAGCGATTGTACCTTTGTTTTATTGGTCATAGGATACTGCATTCCACACTGCTAGAAATTGATAAAAGAAGGTTCCAATACTATTGGTTTTGTGATATTTGCTTAAAATTTTCAATAT